GGTAGACACAAAATACTCATTGTACAAGATTAATATACAATTATCAGTAAGAAATATACAATTTGTCCATTTATCATAAATTGTCATACGTTGACACCTATTTCTTAGTAGCCTGGCATTGTCTGATAGCATTCTAAAAATGTAATTCTAGTCTGAAAATGACATCAACAATTGTCATGCAACAATTGCAATAAATTCAGCAACAATTGTCATGTCACATGAAGTTTATGAAACATGAATGGTTCAGGAGTTCATAAAAGGAGGAACTTTTGTTTTACACAAGCAGACCATATTTGAACTACGAAAGAAGCTGAATACTGAAAACAAAATAGTTCATCGACTTTCTGTATACCAAGATGGTGGATAGATGCCTTATAATACATGTGGACATAGGGTTTTCAAGTCAATAAATCCAACACATAGGGTAAGGTGTGTGGGGAACTCTGAGAGGGCCATAGCGCTCCTTATAGTTCTGGACACATGAAACTATTTTTCATTTCTCTTGTTTGGTGGTCTACACAGTTGGATAGTAGAAGAACTTGATATGAAATAGACTCTCAATACCCTTTGATAATACATCCTGGTGTGACTGGAGCAGTGTGATATCTAGTAAATAATCAAATTCAGGAGTATAAATTAATACTCAGCGTAAGGTATTAGGGACAGGATCAATTGTCAGTCAATACTCAGCATCAGGAGTTAGGGTCAAGAGTCAGCATCAAGAGTCAGATTCAATGCTGAGCATCAGGTGTCAGAGTAAATAGTGAGAGTCTATAGTCAGTGTCAGGGTCAGTAATCACAGTAAGGTGTCAGAGTGTGCAGGCAGTGTCAGGTGTCAGGGACATCACAGTAAGGTGTCAGAGTGTGCAGGCAGTGTCAGGGTCAGTAATCAGAGTCAACAGAGTAAGGTGTCAAAGTCAATGGTCAGCATCAGGAGCCAAGGTCAATAGTCAGTGTAAAGTATCAGAGTCAATAGCCAGCATCAGGCATCAGGGTCTATAGTCAGCATCATCTGTCAGGTGGCAGAGTCTAAAGCCAATAGTCAGCATGAGTTATCGGAGTCCGTGGTCAGCATCAGGAGTCAGGGTCTATAAACATCATCATCTGTCAGAAGTCAGAGTCAGGAGTCTATAGCCAGTGTCAGGCGTCAGAGTCAATAATCAAAGTCAACAGTCAGATTAAAGTGTCAGAGTCAATGGACAGTGTCAAGGTCTATAGTCAGCATCATCTGTCAGGAGTTGGAGTCAGGAGTCAATAGCATCAGGTGTCGGGATCAGCAATCAGAGTCAACAGTTAGAGTAAAGTATGTCAGTGTAATGGTCAGCATCAGGAGTCAGGGTCAATAGTCAGCATCAGGAGTCAGGGTCAATAGTCAGCATCAGGTGTCAGGGTCAATAGAAACTTTTGTTGCTCTACTTCCCATCTCCTTAGCCCTGCCTACCCCTCTCATTTGTCTCATTTTAATGCCTCAGAACATATGTAACTTATATGTTCTGAGAGTTACCAGAACTTATAGGTAATCAAATCTCTACATTTGAATAAGCTATCCCAGTGGTCGGCAAGCCGCGGCTCGCGAGCCACATGCGGCTCTTTACACAGTTTAATGCGGCTCTTCTGTGTGCCGGGCTCCCGCTCCCCTCCCTCCTCTCGGGCGGCCGCCCCAAAAGTCAGGCAAACTACGGCCCGCATACGGCCACGCGGACCTTTTAATCCGGCCCGCGGAGCGTGGCAAACATTGGCTGTCAGGATGTAGGCGGGGCAGCGTGACGAACTCCTCTCCTCTCACAGTCCGCCCTGAAGACCGGAACGGCGTGGGAACACGGCGAGAGGAACGCGCGGAGCAAAGGTAAGTGAATTGACACAATATGGGGAATGAATTACTATAGGGGGATGAATTACTATAGGGGGGATGAATTACTATATGGGGGATGAATTACTATATGGGGGATGAATTACTATATGGGGGATGAATTACTATGGGGGATGAATTACTATATGGGGGATGAATTACTATGGGGGATGAATTACTATGGGGGATGAATTACTATGGGGGATGAATTACTATATGGGGGATGAATTACTATGAGGGATGAATTACTATGGGGGATGAATTACTATATGGGGGATGAATTACTATGGGGGATGAATTACTATGGGGGGTGAATTACTATATGGGGGATGAATTACTATGGGGGATGAATTACTATGGGGGGTGAATTACTATATGGGGGATGAATTATTATGGGGGATGAATTACTATGGGGGATGAATTACTATATGGGGGATGAATTACTATGGGGGATGAATTACTATAGGGGGGATGAATTACTATGGGGGATGAATTACTATATGGGGGATGAATTACTATATGGGGGATGAATTACTATATGGGGGATGAATTACTATATGGGGGATGAATTACTATATGGGGGATGAATTACTATGGGGGATGAATTACTATATGGGGATTAATTACTATGGGGGATGAATTACTATATGGGGGATGAATTATTATGGGGGATGAATTACTATATGGGGGATGAATTACTATATGGGGGATGAATTACTATATGGGGGATGAATTACTATATGGGGGATGAATTACTATGGGGGATGAATTACTATATGGGGGATGAATTACTATGGGGGATGAATTACTATATGGGGGATGAATTACTATTGGGGATGAATTACTATATGGGGGATGAATTACTATATGGGGGATGTATTTTCAGTTTTAAAAATGTGGCTCTCAAAATAAATTTCAATCGTGGTTTTGGCGAGATTTGGCTCAGTTGAAAAAAAAGGTTGCCCACCACTGAGCTATCCCATGGAAAATAAATGTGAAAAATAATATGCAATCTAACTTAGTGGAAGTTCCGAATGCAAGCTATTTAGTTTACCAAAAATGTCCCTAATTCATGTGCTTCATTTTCCATTTCGGCGATGCCTCTACATCAACACTGTCTAGTGATCTTCGCCAAAATGGAGGACAGAACACACATTTTGGGTAAAAAGCTAATTTCTTGTGAGGATGTGTGTGTGTGCTTTAGAGAGATCAATGTTTCATTTAAAGGAAGGTCCTTTTAAAAGGTCTGTCCACTTAAAAAGGATATTTTATTATTTGGTAGATGCTGGAGGCATACAACTACATGATAAGTTCCTATTACTTCCCTCCAATTACAATATGAAGACAGAACATCTGTTTTTTATGGTTATGTTTTTATCATTAGTATTTAAAAAAGATATTGTATTTAAGTTTATTGTGATTCTTGGGGTTGTGTATAAAATCCATGTGCAATTGAATTATAGCTATTTCAATTTTCAATATGGGATGTGGTACCCCGTATGTCGAGCAATTGGGTTTCTAAGCTGCCACCCGGGAGAGCTGTTTTTTATATGTAGGCTTTCTGGAGTTACTATATGACTTGGGTACCCTGTCAGTGAAATCTCTGTACTTTTAAGTTCCTAGGACTGCACACCTGCTGTAAAGGGTTGGGCTTGATGTTGGAGTTGAGCATAAGTTCAACTCGAACATTGGCCATTTATGTGTTCACCTGCCTGTCAAACACAGTTTTCCGTCATTTTTTACACTAGACTTTTTTTGTGTACATATGTAGCAGTACCATGTACCCTATACTCATTCACATGGGGGAGGGCCAGGATCTGGGGGCCCCCTTGTTAAATAAGCCCCCTGCCTGCAGACCCCCACAACCACCGGCCACAGTTGTGGGGAAGAGACCCTTGTCCCCATCAATACGAGAACAAGGTGCTTTGGGGGGGGGGGCCCCTGCCCAAAGCATCCCCCCAAGTTGAGGGCATGTGGCCTGGTGTGGTCCAAGGGGGGGGGGGCACTCACTCTTCCAGCTGCATGCTCGGAAAAGGGTCTGCTATGGATTTTGGGGGGACCCCCACACCATTTTTTTTTTAAATGTTGGCATGGGGGGTTCCCCTCAAAATCCATACCAAATGCTGTTTTATTTTATTGTTTTAATTTCCAAGCAATGCCAGCAATTCTTTTTACATTCAGCTATCAGCAAGGAACCCCGTTGACAGCTGAAACATTAAAGAATGTTCTCACTACTAAAATACTACTGCATGACTTAATAATATAACTCGTGGTATTTTAGTAGCTGTGCAGTATCTTACCACATACTCAGATGCGGTGAGATGTCGCTTAGTGAATTGTCCCTGTTTGAAGTTCGCAGTCAAACTTTTGAATGTTCGACCATGAACTGAACAGGGGGGTGTTCGGTCCTCCACTACTGCTGTAGCCATTATGAGGTGGGGGGTCAGAAATTTTGGCACAGAGATCTTGACATTGAAATATCCAAACCAAAAAGAAGCAAAGAAGCAATTTAGCCAAACAAGCTTAACATGTAATTGGGTGGCTTGACCCTTTAATTTACCAAACATTTTTGTCTTATTCCATCAATTCTTGCAGTTTATTCCAACCTATTCAATGCTATAAAAAACACACTTTGCAATAAATAGTTAAAATGGCAGGTGACATTTGTATGGCCTTTCTCTCTAGGGCTCTAAAGAAAGACTATAGAGTATATCTCTTTGACTGATCCTATAGACTCTGCACCTGCAGTGAATTTTTCTTTGAATTGCAATGGAGTAATTTAACCCAGTGTCCTTATGTTGCCCCTCAACAGGAATCTGCTTTAGTGGTTACAATAAAAGAGTTTTATAGGACAATGCTGGAAAGAAGAGATGCTAATATTCTCTGAGACTGCAGAACTGCCAGCCAGTGGAGGATGAAGACAATTATGCCTCAGGATGATTTCTCTGCAGACGTGCATATACTTTAACACTTGACATTAGGGCAAGAAAGAAAAATATTAAGCCAGCTCACAGCAGAAGATCATTGTGCTACTTCAGGACTCAAGAGGAGCAAGAAAAGACAAATGAGTGCTAATGGAGTTGCATAACAATGCAAAGCCTTGTAGAGTTTATTTGTAAAATCATTTAGTTGTGAAGGACAGGTGTAAAAAATGTCAAGCAGCTTGACTGTACTTGGTACCCTCTGGGCACTGCTGTCATTTCTCTCAGCAGCTACAAGCTGTACAAGCTTTTTCATGCCCTACTGGCTCTATGGCTTCCAAATGGGAAAACCAGTTTCATTCAGCACTTTTCGAAGGTGCACCTACCCAGTTCAAATGGATGAAAAGAACACAGTGATGCTGGAAGAGTGTGGAAGATATGCCAGCTTCGGTGCCATCCCCAGCCTATCCTGGCAGATCTGCACCCTGGTGATTGGTATTGGCTGTGCTTTACTGCTGCTGGTGTCCATAGCTTCTGTTTTAGGCTGCTGTCTTGGTGATCTTATTTCCAGGATGACTGGAAGGTTTTATGGTGCTATACAATTCATTGGAGGTAAGACTTGAGAAATGTTTTGTATAATTTAAGCCTATTAAAATGTCTGTCCTGTAGCTGTAATGTAGTTATTTTTCATTGTTCTGACTGCTATAAATTGATGATAGTTGAAAAGAAGATTGTTTGATAGTACATTTAAAGTGTATGTAAAGGCAAAACTTTTTTTGTTTTGAATAGCGCATGGAAAGGTTAAACCCTCGGTCACATTTTTATTGCAGTCTGTGTCTCTGATGGGGAGATTTACTCTTATACATGACCTCATGACCATTGTCACTGAGAAAATGAGAAAAAAATCTTAATATTAGAGTTGTCACGAAGGCAAGAGCTGAGGGGAAACCTTCCGTATGGGGACAACCATTCCAATGACAACTGTCTTAGATGGGATTGCCAATTACATGGGCAAAATTTCCTATTTCCTCTTATTTTACTTTTTTGCATCTCCAAGAGAAGAAATTAAGGAAAACACCCAGCAGCAACCAGGGAAAAAAACCACTGATAGAGGCTTTAACCCTTCCCTACCCTAATCTAAAACAAAAAAGAAAGTTTTGCACTTTTGTGCGCTTCAAAACAAACCTGCTACAAACTTCATCATTTGAAATTGAGCATATGATGAACAATGCATAATCATAGGTTATTTTCTGTGAAAAATAATTTATTAGTACACCAACAAGTTTGTTTCAAAGCTCTACTTTATTGCATGATCACATAGAAAGTCAGCATTTCCTGAATGCTCAGAGACCCTCCACCAGGTATGTGTCACACTTATCTCTACTAGGGCTGAGTGGAATCAAGGGGTCTCAAACATTATGGATTCCAAACAGTGGGTAGCCACTTGCAATAATCAATAATACACATTATATGGTGTGGGGGATACTTGGATCTACTACAGCTTCTCCTTGGGATCGTGTGTGGAAAGATTTTCTTTCCTTTTAGTCAAAGAAAAATAAGAGATGTTTGTTGCTGAAGTATTTTATTCATAGTTCACCCAACAAATCTGCAGTTTACTTTATTAATGTTATTACCTGCTCTACCTTCTTTTTCCTCCTCCCCTCCTTTACCTTGCCTAACCTCTCCTATCCCACCACCTTACCCTACAGCTCTCCCTCTCTTCTAGTGTCACCCATCCCACTGAAGCCTTTCAAGCAATTGCAACAGCATGCAGAATAATGGCACAGTCTGTGTTTTTTTGGACTAGTAATTAATGTTGACTAAATAACATAATAACAATGGGATAGTAAAAAGGATTAAACAATATCTTGTGTTCCAACTCACTGGCTGTGCTCTTTGGTTCTATATGGTAAACAAGATCTAAATATCAGCTTGAACCTAATTTAAGGGCTTCATGCTATGCTTAGTGATCTGCATTTTTCTACACTGGATAAATACAGGTCACTGCTAGGGCACCTAGAAACCAATTGTTTCCTAATTTCCTTGCTCATACTACAATGATGGTGTGATGTGCAGTGCTTTGCAGTGTGGAAAAATGCAGCATGTCAGCATTTCTCTGAAGTGCACTGGATGGCACCTCATGCCACCGCACAGCAGTGCAATGCACAATGTAGCTAGTGCCTTACGTCTATTTCCCAGGAAGGAGCACCACTGCCTTCTGGAAATTCTCATGATTTTGCAAAAATAAGGCCTTTTCCCTGAGATTACAAAAAGTTTTGTGACATTAAAGGGGAAAAAAAGCTACTTTTTGGACAAGCAGTGGCTCCTGACTTGAAATCTGGCACAGATGCCATGGGTAGGCCAGCACAGAGGACATGTAAGCTGAATATGGCCACCAATGTTGCATTTTCGTTAAATGGCACCCCAAGCTTTGGAACAGGAGAGGACAGAGCAGAGGGACTCGGGAAATACAACACTGAGGAGGCATGTAACTCTAAGTAAATTTATAGGTGTTGGCAATGGCAGTGTGATGAGTGTATGAGTGTGTGTGGCGGGGGGTTGAACTTGAAGAATCTACTGATATTAGGAAATAACTTAAGGTTCCCTGATTTTGATGTTTGAATATATTTTTCTCAAATAAAGCAATAGGAACTTTAGTCAGAAAATTAAATTCCACTAGATCACTTCTTGCTGGTCCCTTTTACAGGTCTAACTATGTAAGTTATTATACTGTTTAAAATTCAGTAATATAGTATATATATATACTTTATAGTATATATATGTATTGCTCTGCTTTGCACATGCTCAGTTGCTCTCTATTTTTAGGCAATGTGCCTAGTTTGTAGAGGTTAATCTGCTGTCAGCCGAAAGATTTATTGCTGCTCAGGACTCTGTGCTTCAGCAAAATGGCAGCCTCCAGCAAGAAGAAACAGGAACAATGCTGGAGGCAATTTACAGCACACACTAATTTTGGCAGCATAATTATTAATGTGGAATGTATGTTCCTTGTTACAGAACATTTTTTATTAAATTGTTATTGGTAAAGTTCCACTTTAAAGCTGTAATGGACACCGTCTTACCTGACTGCAATTGCAGTTTGCATTTTTTTTACAACACAGATAACATCCCATTTTATATCTGAGAAAATATCTAAAAGCAGTTGTAGCACTTACCCTCGAAGGAGCTGAAAAGCAATATCAAATTTGCCCCCAGTACGGGATATACTTTAAACTCCGCTCAAAAGGAGCAAGATCAGTGTACAACCCTCAGAGGTAAAGGGACAAGGGGCGATTGGCAATAAATCTCAGGATAATGTTCATGAAAATAAGGTCCATATAATATAACGAATCCAATCGAGGAAATACACTGTTGCATTGTCAGCAGTCTCTGCTTCAAGCAAGTTCTGGAGATTTCCCGTCAATGGTCATGTAAAAACAGAACACAGGGTTGGGGAGAGAGAGCGCCACTGTTTAGGAGTAGTAGCGTTAGGAAAATCAATTAAAAAAACTGGACGATGAAAAGTGCACTCACATATACATGGTTAAAACACAACATATCAATATGTTCAGTGGAGATATCAATAGATGGCAGCTTTTTAAGAATATTCAGATGGATAAAAAAAACTCTCTCTGCTCCTCCTTTCATTATTATTTTCCCTTACCATCATTACTGTTACGTCATGTGGATGTGCGCCTAGAATATTATTTTCCTGCACGCACCACATATTAATACTACAATATGACTTATTTTTTTGTGAACCCATGATATTATCTGCATATTTGTATATTTATATCTATACTTACATTTACTCCATAGCTTTTTGGTGTTCCATTGTGTTCTATTTTATCTGGATTATTCATTATTTTTTATTTTGTTCATGTTTTTAATTGTTTTTAATAAGTATTGTGTTTAGTTGGATCTAGTGTTCTGGTCAAACGGCTGGAACTTTTTGTTTTTATTTCATTATTTTCTCTATATTTCTTTCAATGGATCCTGACGTTTCGTCATCGGGACTTTCCCATGGCAGGTCATCAACAAGCCGTTTGCTTTGCTTGTGGTGCCACTAATGTACTGTTTTGGTAGTTCATTCTATTGATTTAGTATACTAGTGCAAGTCCTGCAGGTTTGTCCTCCAAGCAGCAGGTGGAGTTGCTGTTCTCACAACCGATCTGTCTGTATTCTTCTCCTTTATGGCGCATGATGCTATATAACCACTTGGCCTGTGGAACGTTTTATCCCCTTCATCACCAGAGCATTTTTTGCCATTCAGCACTTTGCTACTTTAACTGGCAATTTTGCAGCCATGCAAAACTGTACGCAAATGAAATTTTTATAATTTTTTACACGCAAATAAAGCTTTCTTTTGGTGGTATTTGATCACCACTGGGTTTTTATTTTTTGCGATATAAAAAAAGACAGAAAATTTTGAAAAACAGCGATATTTTCTTCTGTTATAAAACATATTCAATACAAAAATTAAACAATCTAATTTATTTGTACATTTAAGCCAAGATGTATTCTGCTACATGCCTTTGGTAAAAAGAAAATCCAGTCAGTGTTTATTAACTGGTTTGTGTAAAGGTTATAGCATCTACAAACAATGGTATATATACTGCAATTTTTGCAGCTATTGATGCTATACTGTAATGGCGGTGATGAGTGACTTATAGGGTGACTGTGATAGGATGGTGTCATGCACCGCCTGATGGTATCTCTAACAATCCACAAGACAGAATTCCCCAGGTCGCGGGTTCTAAGTCCCAGTCTGCTTGTTTACCAGGGTCCCTGATGGTGGGATGGATTTGGAGCAGACAGTGACCAGGTCGCGGCCCCTGAGTGCACCCGACTGTGGTAGAGGGAACCGCCGGAGGTATGTACTGGAAGAGAGCCTGATGTGAAGAGGCAGATATACCTGAGCAGTGACCGGATCCGTGCCGGATGGATGGATGGCAGGGTAGTGTAGCGTAGTCAGACGGGTCGGGTCGGTAACAGTGGAGACAGCACGGTACAGAGCAGCAGACAGAGAGTAGTCAGGTCACACGCCAGGTTCAGCAACAGGGGGTCAGATAACCAGGGGTATGCAGGAGAGTAGTCAAACGAGCCAGGGGTCAGAGCAAAAGATGGTCAGCAAAGGTCAGGATCAAGCTGGGTCAGCAACAAGGTCAATCAGCAGGAACAACGAGCAGGAACAGGATAATAAAGACCATACAGCAACTTGAGTCTGTGCAGGGCTGGTTTAAATAGTGCGACCTGCACTTTCATTGGTGCCAGGCACGCATCTGCGATCGCGAGTGTGCATGCACGGCCGCCGCAGCTGCCTAGGTCCTAGCGCCTGCCGGTTAGAGCACATCGGCGTTCTGTGCATGCGCAGACCCGTGCGCTGCCACGATTATGGTGGACAATCTGGCACTAACAGACACTATCTGGGAGCATCACTAAGTGATCAGTGATATTACTGTGCACTGACACTGTACTAATTACACTGGCTGGGAAGGGGTTAACATCTAGGGGCAATCAAGGGGTTAAATATGTGCCTAACAATGTGTAATGTGTGCTGCTTTTATTCCTCTATCTGGCTGTTTTTTCTCTCTGCTTTGCAGAGAAAAGAAAGA